AAAATTAATTTGATTAACGATGAGAGGTTAATACAAAAAATATATATATAAATAGAGACAGCTGGAAAGGCAAATTGGAAAACGGAAATGGAGGGGATAGAGCACAGAACATTCAAGGTGAATGGCATAAACATTCACGTTGCAGAGAAAGGCCAGGGGCCGCTGATTCTTTTCCTCCATGGATTTCCGGAGCTGTGGTACTCCTGGCGCCACCAGATCCTCGCTCTTGCTTCCCTTGGCTACCGTGCCGTCGCTCCTGACCTCCGTGGCTACGGCGAAACCGACGCACCGGATTCCATCGACAGCTACTCTTGCTTCCACGTGGTTGGCGACCTCATCGCCCTACTCGATGCTGTTGCTGCCCACCAGGAGAAGGTGTTCCTGGTTGGCCATGACTGGGGCGCCATCATTGGTTGGTTCTTGTGCTTGTTCAGGCCGGACAGAGTCAAGGCTTTTGTGGGCTTGAGTGTACCGTATCTCCGATCCGATCCGGCAAAGAAACCGGTTGAAGCCTGGAGATCTTTTTACGGCGACGACTATTACATCTGCAGATTTCAGGTCATATTAATTCATTCCTCCTTCATCTCTTGATCCATTTCAAAACAGCTCTGTTCTCTAATCTCAATCAAGTGAAATTTGCAGGAGCCAGGGGAAATAGAAACAGAGTTTGCGCAAATCGGAACAGAGGAACTCCTGAAGGAGTTCTTTACGTACAGGCTTCCAGATCCTTTCCGTTTCTCTAAAGGCACTAAGCCGTTCGGCCATGGACCGGAGAGCCCCGTCGCATTGCCACCCTGGTTGTCTGAGGAAGACATTAAGTACTACGCTTCCAAGTTTGAGAAGACAGGTTTCACCGGAGGCGTGAACTATTACCGGAACATGAACCGGTTTGGGACCGTCCAACCTTTTGTGTTTAACATTCTTACCCCGCCACTTTCTGTGTTTGACTGACTTTGAACTTCTAACACAGAAACTGTGAATTGCTGGCGCCGTGGGTGGGGAGTGAGATCAAGGTGCCGGCGAAGTTCGTGGTGGGAGATCAGGACCTTGTGTACCATATGCCTGGAATGAAAGATTATATTCATGGGGAAAGTGGGTTGAAGAAAGATGTGCCGTTGCTGGAAGAAGTGGTGGTGATGGAAGGTGTTGCTCACTTCATCAACCAAGAGAAAGCTGAAGAGATCAGCAATCATATTTTTAACTTTATCAATAAGTTCAACTAAGTTGCCTACAATTAGAAAGACATAATGAGTACCACTTTGGACTTTCAGGGTCAATAAGACGAAATTATGTATCACTTTATCATGAATTATTCATGGTTTTTTTTTTGAACATATTTGTGATGGACTTGACTCGAACCGTTGCCCTGATGAAGAAGATATAAATCTTACAAACGTGACTAGAGTCGCTTGGCCCAAAGGGCCAGCTTCATGAATTATTCATGGTTATTATAATATTTTTATGTAATCTTAATAATGTTTAATAATATTTGAGATTAACACTTATTCGACTTATATTTTAAAAATTTTTAAAAATTATTTTTAAATTATATTATTTTAATAAAATTTTATAAAAAATAAATTTTTTTTAATTTTTTAATAAAAATTTATTAAAAGAACTTAGTTTTGAAAATAGTTTTTTCCTTAAATTTTAAAAAATAAAGCACATAACCACTATTCCGATAATGTTTTATACCTACAATTTAAGTTAACTTAATGATAATTTTTTTTTTATAAAATATTCAAATTACATAACATATAACTAAAAACCTGATCTTATGAGCCAAGTAGCTTTAGTCACTCTTATAAGATTTATATTCCCCTCCCCAAGAGTAATGGTTCGAACCGACCCCATGACTAAATGTTCAAAAAATATATATATATATATATATAAAACATGTAACTAAGATGAATTAAATCTTAAAGAAATAAAGAGAATTACTTATTCTAGTAAAAAAACAATATTTTCAGTAACAATAAGCATGGGCATGTATCACATTATATTTTTTTACTTAAATGAACTATCTTTGATAAAATTGATTGGAAATAAAACAAGCAAAATCCGTCCAATCAATCTCTTAAAACAATCAAGAATCACACAAAGTATGAACAGTTCCAAAGAATTCTCCAAATGAGATTGTGAGATTATGTTACACTTGAAAAAAGAAAAACAGGCAAACTAAAATAATGCCTTGCCGTTGGTACAGGAAAAATGGAAAAGAAAAAACATAATAAGTGGTCAAATGGGGGCAACAAAGAATAGTGAAGAAAGACTCAACACACAACCAAACCGACCTCACATTCTACCAAGACAAACTTATAATACATGATAATAAAACCCTAAAACATAATTACAATTAGCAAAATGGACACCTGATGAGGTTCTCTTAGGTTCCTAAAGCCGCTCTGTCATCAGGGCCAGCAAGCATGATCTGGAATTTTGGAATGAAGATTCATTTCAGGGGTGGATGAGATATGAGAAGAATAGATTGACTTTGTAGTGTATGGTGGAGAGCAATGTGAGAAGAATTTGATAATCACTTACATTGCAGTCAAAAGCAAACCTCCTGGCAAGCATTATGGCTGCATTTCTATCTCTCTCTGATTCAAATGCTAGTACAAAGGAAAGCCCTTTCTTGGCTTGCCAAAACAATGCCTGGGCTGCAGCATTTCCACCTCCTCTAACTCCACATAGCTAAAGCATAAGTAAATAGAACAAGAAATGTCAAACTCCGAACAGCGTACCAGTCTCATCAATCCCATTTGAAAAATAAATTATCATGATCAAGACCATTATCATTATGCTAATCATTTCTTACACAATAGTTATTCCCTTGCATGCAAATGAATTTGTGCTCGGTCTGATTAAGTTCTTTTAATGCTTTGATATAAAATAAAACATGTTATTTGGTAGGAGGAAGAACCAGGAAGATGGAAGCAAAATAAACCAAGTTATTCCTATGAATATGATTTATTTTCCATGGTCTGATGAAGTTTTTTTAATGCTTTGGTATAAAGATAAACATGCAGACTCAATTATTTGTTTAGAGGAGAGAAACCATGGGAGGTGGAGGCAAACACAAACCAAGAAATTTTTTCTGTTTTATAGCCTTTCCCTTGGCCAAACAGAATCATCTTTCATAAATAGAGAAAATGACAATCTCTAGTACCTGCATCGAACTAGAATAAAATTCTTTTGCGATTGTAGTCTTTCCTTTAGAAAGCTTCATCCTCATCTTTCCCACATGTAGAACATGAATAGATTCTGATTGATGATTAGCCCCATTCATCTGGGTAACAACTACCTGAAAGATAAAAAAGAAATATTAACAAAAAGAACATTGACTGCTTAAACTGAAATGAAAAGCAATAGTAATAAAATGAAAATAAAGTTGCCCAGTCATGTGCTCAGTCTATAAATGTGGGGACAACATACATTGAATTCTACATCATGTCTCTGCACAAGTAACTCCACATAGCTTCCCAAACCAGGAGCTGCTCAAGAAAAATAAATCAATCAATAAAAGATTCTTTGTTTTTAAAATCAATATTTGACAGTATACTATAATAGCAACAAGCAAGATGGAAAAAATGAGTTCCTAGAAGAAAATAAAAACCTAGAAGAAAAAAAAAAGAAAAAAAGAAGCAAATTCTTAATGAATATAATTGCATAACTAAAACCCCCCAACAAGAAAAAAGCACCCAGACTCGCACCTGGATCAATGGCACCAGCAGTTGTCAATATTATTTGCTGTCCATCATTATTAATCTCAGCCTGCAGTTTTCTACCTATATCGAAGGGCTCTGGAGCATAAACTGATTTATTGGCACCTGTTACAGAAAACTTAATTGAACAAAACTAGACTTCCAAACAAAAAGTTTCTTTTTTTTCTTTGAATCTAGAAAGTGATGTAATCCCTATTAGCTCCAGTTTAATCTTTAAACACAGTTTTATGAGCAGTGGAAATGGAACTGGAAGATAGATGAGGGGATCCAATTTACTTCCATGGAGATAAAGCAGCATGGAAAGTAGAAATTACAGAGGTCTGCTTAACATCAACAGTGCACTTATTTAGTGGTTTGAAACAAGCATAGGGGCAAAAGTAGAGGCTTTTCTGTACCCGATATAAGCTCTTTCCTGCCGCCTTCAGACGATATACGATACCATTGAATTGAACATTCAGAAAGCTCAGGAGAAATTTCAGAGCGAGGTTTAATGTGCAGAAATGAGCCTAATGCTTCGGCACCATCTAACTCATATAGATAAGATATATTTTCCTCACTCCTCTTGCTCTTTGCCAGCTGCAGAACAGGGAGAAGTAAAAGGTTAAAAAATCCAAAATCAAATTTAATTTCCTGTATCTCCAAGCAACAGCATTACATACCTATGTAAGAAGCCAGCATAGACATAAGAAATAAGAAAATATATGCACCAAAAGCGTTATAATAGAAGAACACTAAGAAAAAATATCTAGCATATTGGGGAAACTGGAAACATTAAATAATAAGAACCAGGAAAGACATTAAGCATTTGGGGAGAATATGCACTGGTTTATTTTTAAGATGGATATTAAGAAAACATATGATCACACATGCAATCAATCAAACCTTTACGCAGTTAAGTTTTGACATTTCAAGAAAAACCAACTGGAGATTATGCATTTCTTCGCTTCCTTCAACTTGTCCAAGGTAAAAAGCATGTGATCCGAAGTAGTTGGAAGTTGATTTTTATCAGAAGCTGCAAAAACATAAGTGAGAAACAGACCTCTCTCTGGAGCTGAAGAGAATGCTTTGACTTCTCTTCAAGTTGCATCCTTAATGCTTGAAGTTCATATTCCATGTCCATAACCTATTCAAGCCAAAAAAAAAAAAAAAAGCCCATAACCTAAAAATTTAAAAGTAGATTCAAATGACATCATCTTGCAAAAATTGTGTCAATGTCTATCATGCTCCAAAGCATCCATACTTTGTATGATAGATTTATATAAATTTCTTCAACTCATTAATAGACAGAGAGCATACTCATTCAAGATTTACCATTGTAAACAATCTAAAAAAAAATAATTTTCAGCTTCACAAACCAAAAGAACAATAATAAACAAGCACATCTATGACTTGATTCACTTGAAATGCAAGATACAACATATTTCAAATTCAAAAACATATGCAAGAGGCTAAAAAGGACAGAAAATTCAAGAAAAGAACATTGACCATTATGAAATTCATAGATAAAATAACAAATACAAGCAGCTTTTTGATGGCCAAAAAAAGAAAAAAGAAAAAAGAAAAAAAAGGAGCTTTTCATAAAACGGGAGCTATCCAAGAATATTCAAAAGAATATAATTGTTTCATTAAGATGGAAAAAACAAATAAAGACAATTATCTTCTCAGAATTGAGATATACCCTGCTTGGTTGGTGCAGCATTTTGATCCGTCTAGCCTCTTGAACCTCCTTCATCAATTCCTCCAGGTCCTGATAAACATATGCAACACCTATGTGGTAAGAACCCAAAAAAAAAAAAAAAAGGATACAAAAATGTAAAAATAATACAGCACAACCACTATAGTGAACATGACAGATCACAAGAGAACAGAAAAAGATATGATATTTGGCCTCATTAATCTAAAATCCAGAAAAATCCCAACTCCTGTAAGCATTGTATATACAGGATGATAATAAAAAGAGTGAATGTAAAACACATAGATAGATGCTTTTCAAAATAAAACTTAAAAAATGCTGAGTTCCCACAACAAAATTTCTAAGAGTTCAAGAACCAATCTATTGATGAGAATAAAACCTGTTTTCCTGAAGCTCTAGACATTTGTTCATGTTCTTGAAGGGCCTCTTCCACTCTCTCAACTGCTGCTCTTGCACTCTCAATTTCAGCACGAGCAGAAGCTCTTTCTTCATCAACTAGTCTTTTAGCATCTTCTGAAGCCTATTACCGTACAAAAAGTAAAAGATAAACAGAAATAACAATTAGACAAGCAATTTAAGGAACCAAAGTGAAAACCCTAGACCTGAGAAATAAAACGTGATTAAATAAATGGTACAAGGATTCATGCCTCCTTTATGCTGTTGTTTTCTGCTCTCAGAATAGATATTTGCCAAAATGAGACAAGAAGAAAATTTGCATTTTCAACCAGAAGGCACATTTAACCTCCTCTTTTTTTTTCTCTTTTTTTTTTTTTCTTTTTTTGAGATAAAGGACAACATCTAGCTTTAAATATAAGTTTACAATACCTGCTTAAGAAAATTTGCTAGCTTCTTCACTTCAGTCTTTTCTTGTATCAACTCTCCTTCCCTTTGAGTCAACTGGGCTGCTAAAGCTTCAACCTAAAGGAAGCAACCACAATTTCATGGTTATGTGACATCAACAGCAAACTGAAATGAAATGGACAGTACAATAAGACCATCCTAGGGAGTCACATGTAGCCATGGAAAGAATTTTTAATTTCTTTTTAGACTGATAACAAAAAACTACTTTAAGATCTCACCTATCAACTTGAGCTTTATGTAATAATGAACAATTCAATAGAAGAATAATTAAAAAGAAACAAAAAACCCTCAAAAGTCAAAATAGAAAACTAACCATGGCAATAGCTTCCTCTACATCATCTTTATTTCTGCCAGCCACTCGTCCTCTTAAAGATTCAAGTGCATCTCTAAGCTTCTTCAATAGGACATGTTTCTCCAGCGAAGCTGCCTCTCTGAGCCTAGCCTGAAATTAAGAAAAATGTCCAGTTTATAATCAAACATACTGCACTATATTTATACTCAATGCTGCCAGAGAGTTAAAACAAAAAGCCATAGGAAGTATGTCACTGTAATAATTATTATGAACCGTGATTTTCATTAAAAAAATTCAGAGAGAAGAGGCAAGGGCAAGTTTTGACATTCAAGTGTCTACAAAACCAAATCAGGTTTGTTCTCTATACCACAGTTTAAGTATGGAAAAACTTCAAATAAATTTCACCTCTTCAGACAGCTTAGCAGCGGCAGCTAGCCCCTTCTCAAATTTGCTAGCAAGGTCACGAACAGAGAGACGTTTCTGCTGCTCCAAAAGCTGTGCGGTCTCACGGGCAACAACCTCCTTCATGGACAGAACTTTTGGATCATCCTTGCCATCCAAAATCTGATTGTTGGTCCCAAGTTTGTAATTAGGGAATCGACTAGAAGCAAATATCACATCAGCAGATACTGCCGGAACAGCTTCTTTTTGCATAGTGTCACCAAAATCACGGGTTACCCTCGTCATCGTTTCAAACTAATAACACTGTCAGATCATTAAAACCCATCTTAATACAAATTATTAAGTGGATAATCATTGCACAACAGCTAATTAGCACCTAAAATCACAATGTGGGTCAGTGTCTACCTACCCAAATTACTTCAATTAGGCAACCAGCAAACAGATAAAAAGAAGAATTTAACAAATGGTAGCTAGATAAAAGACATTAAAAGGATGGAATTTCAGTCAGACAATTCCTAATTCAGTAATCGGGAAGAATAAAAAAACTTAATTTTCCCCCTAACCAAACAGCTAACAACAATCAAGCAAACAAACAAACAAAAACTGATAAAAGACATAAACTTGCATCATGCCCTAAACGGAAGAGGCCATCAATGACGCATAATTAACATAATCACTAATCAAGAGTAACTAAATAACACAGACAACTCCAAGCATAAGAAAACAAAAAAAAAAATTGTAAAAAAAAAAAAATGAACCCAGATGAAACACTGCATGTAAAACAAGAGCAGCAGAGACTAAACTAAACCCAAGTAGTATTACCCAGAACTGGTTTCGAAGTGAAAACAAGAGTTGAAGAAACGAAACTAAAACCCTAATTCCAGAAAAGAAGAAACAGAGGAAAGGTTAACGATGAAGACACCCAAAAAAAAAAAGAAAAAAAAAAGGGGGAAACATTAGGGGACTTACAGATCATTGGAAGATGCAGTATATAAAAAGAAAAAGGAAAATGAAGATGGATTCTTGGATCGGATACCGGTTTAGCTGGAACGAAATTTCTGGATTATTTAGAAAATAAACAGGTGAGAAAGAGAATATGCAGAGAGGAAGAATTGGTTCTGCTTTTTAAAAAAGAGGAGTAATATGAAAAGAGGAGTAATATGAAAAGAGAACAGAGAAATATAGAAAATGCCACCCCAACGACTCAAAGCTTTGATTTTTCTCTCTCGCGTGTAATTATTTCCATGGACTATGGATTTCCTTTTGATTTCCACTTTTACATGCATTATTATTCAGGTTTCCTTAAACTCGTAAATTTCCCTTTTTTCGTTTTTGATGATGCTAAATTAAGTTTTCTTTTCCATTTTTCAAACAATTAGACTGGATTTTTTTTCTTTTTTTTCTTTTTTGATATTAAGAATGGTTAATTGTTCTTTTTAATGGTTAGGTTAACTTTTATAATTATTTTAAAAATATATTTTATATCAAGTTAGGTAATGTTATTGTGATTATCTTAATTATTAATATTATATTTTTTATCATAATTAATTATTATACTCTTTAGTATATTTAAAAAACAAAAATATAAATTTTTAAAGAAAAATATAATATAAAGGAATAATAGTAAATTATATTAAAAATGTATAACATTAATTATTTAAAATGTAATAATAATGTCACTCACATTGACTTAATATATATTAAGTGCTAATCTTAAATTTATACCTAACTATTATTTATTAATAATAAATCTATTAAAATATCTTTTTAAACACTTTAATTAATTATTTAAAATAAAATATAAAACAATAAAATTAACCACACTAAACATACCTTTAATCTAATTTATTTAGTTTATGATATGATTACTTGTAAATTAAAAACTACTGATATATGTATATATATATTATTTGGAATGTGACGTTTACGCTTTGAGCTTGAAAAACACTTTCGGCGGGGCCCAGTCGACGGCCCACGCGGAAATTCTCTC